AAGATCCATTTAGGTGAAACCTAGGTAGATAGTTCCTGGCTCAATAGGATTATTATATATATATGAATAGATATGAAAAATTTTGAGAGATCTATGACAAGAGAAGTTTCGCTTAAAAGCACCATTACAGCCTTGCCTGATCAGCTGAGTTCTTTATAGCTCAGTTGGTTAGAGTGTGTTGGATGTAACAGTGGTTCCCTGTGTCTGAATCCTGCTGGAGAGCACAAATGTAGGTGAGTGTGTACGTGTAGGGGGGGGGTCATCTGTCAGTCTTGAGAAACCATGGATCTGCATTCAAAGACATGCATCAGAGGCTGCTGACAGTGCATCATTTGTTATGGCTGTACAGGCCCACACAGAAGTGACAGTTTTGATTGCAAGGAATGATTGTGAAGCTGCTCTCCTCTGATGTTGACTTGTTTTATTTCCATCAAGCATGCTTCACCCCAGCAGCAAGCCTTTGTTTCTCCTCTCCTCATTCCAGAATCGCATCTCCACTATCAGCAATTGTTGGGGACATCTTCCCAACTCTCAATGTCCATATCCATCACCCTGATGTCACTCCCTTTTGCAGACGTCCTTGAAGCAAAGATGCATTGTAGAGTGCAATGCAAGTTCATATTTAACATTAATTCTGCTTATTATCTGCCTCAAACTTAAACATGTACTATGCTTGTGTACAATACAAAGAAATATAAACATTTTTGTTGCTTGCCTTGTGGCTAAGATTGTTGCATGCTGCCCATTATTGTTGCTGTTCAATCCTAGGTAAAAAAAACAAAAAACAAAAAAAAACAGGATTTTAAATGTAGATTTTAAAGAATGGCAAGCTTTGCCAACTGAGAATATCAATGTAACACAAAACTTCCAACCACTAAGCTATGTTTATCAAATATTCAGTCAGTTATGTGCAAATACATGCTTAGGTGATCATGTATCTTTTGATATATGACTGATGAGGCAGATTTTTTTTCCTGCAGTAGGTTGCCATTTCTTTCTGTGGTAGACCAGTTGCCATCCAATGCTATAGAATTTGGTCTGTCCTGCTATTTAGGCATAGCTGGAGGCGGGAGGATTCATACCTTTCCCAAGGCTATTAGCACATAAGTGAATGTAATGGATTTGACTGGAATTCAAACTCGGCTCTCAGATTCCTCAATCCAAGCTGCTATCCATTAAACTCTTCTTTTGTACTTTCTGTATCAGTTTTAATTTTTCTTTGTTAAATGCGATTGAGACAAATTAAAATTACCGAAGAAAAGATTGTCAAAGAATTCAAAATTGGGGGCAAAGTAAAATCACCTTATGAAGAAAATCTCAATGTGGAACATCTCTTACCTCTGATTTAACATGAAACACAATTTTAAGAGGAAAAGCTTTTTCATAAAAATATGCAAAGGAAAGAAGAAAAAGATAATTATGGTAATAGGGAAATACAGCATAGAACATGTGCTAAAGAATTAGAGGAATATGGGATTCCGAGATAGATCTTTTATTCTTATACATTCAGCATGCAAGCAAATACAGAATTATTGACAATCATTAAAAATATATATATATATATATATATATATATATATATATATATATATATATATATGCACATATAGATAATTATTGATTTTTCAGTCAGCTCCACTTGTGTTATATAAAATATGCACATTACAAGTGTACTCTCCTATTGTTGCTAAGTGTGTGTGTATATATATATATATATATATATAATTATTTTTATAAAAAAATTATATATATATATATATATATATATATATATATATATATATATATATCAATTATTCTGAAATTGAAATCTGATTCCAGGCTTGATAGTTAAAGCATGTCTAAAATGTAAAGAGTTCCTACAAGTAATTCAGAATAAATAGGTTTTCATATCTGTCTCTCTCACATGCACACGCACGCACACACACACACACACACATGCATGCAATCTACATATCAATTATCTATTTTGATGAGATTTTAAATAGAGTACATGAAACATTTAAAATATAAAGGACGTACTAAAATTTGCCAATTAAAAAGTGAGCTAAAAGAAAAAAAACATTGTTAAATATATAAATGTGTATATATGTGCATGAACATACACATGGCTCTTTTATACCCATTTCTGAAAACTGTTGCATCTTTTAATCACTTTAAAGATTTACTCTTTTATATGCACACATATCTATAAACAAGTTTAACATATATGCCATCTATATAATATAATAAATATATGTTTGATTATAGATTTATATAAATGTAAATAATAAAACACTAAAATGTTTTTATTAGATACATGATATGGGCACCTGTGATAGTACAATTTCTAGTGAGTTGCTCAATGATTGCTAATGTAGTGAGTTCAAGCCTCACTGATTACCAACTGTGATAAACTTTCACCAGATTAAATTAAGCTGAGTGAACATATAAGTTCAGTTATGTACCATGTGTGATACACACTTAAGCAGACAAGGCAGATATTTTTCCTGCAGTAGGTTGCCATTTCTTTCTGCTGTAGACCAGTTGCCATCCAAGGCTACCGAAGCTGGTCTGTCCTGCTATTTACCCATAGCTGGAGGGAGAAGAAGAGGATTCGTACCTTTCCCAAGGGTATTAGCATGTAAGTGAATATAGTGGATTTGACTGGAATTTGAACTCGGCCCTCTGATTCTTCAGTCTGAGCCACTATCCATTACTCCACCATGCCTCCTTTTATGTGGAGTAATGATCACCTAAGTGTGTATCATGCATGGCCCATAACTGACTGATCGTCTTTCACCCTGACCACATGACCATTTTCTCTAAAATATTGTCGTTGTTCAGTCTATAGTACCCTGAGAATCTTTCTGTAGAACCACATCAGATTAAAATGTATAGAAAGTGCTTTAATTGCTAGATCGACCATATTAAATTGATGTCTAGCATTTCACCTTTCTTGGCAGTTCTATTACCACAACGTGGAATATTTAATAACAAATGTGATAAAATCATAAGCAAAATGAAAAAGAAACTAAATGAAATCAGTTAAACTGTTTACTTGAACACATATTTTAAAAAAAATAAATTTAATTTTAAATTTCAGCATGCCCTCTCCTTTATGTGCATGTGTAATCACATCAACGTAAACTTCATTTTGGTCCGATGATGTCCTAAAAGATGAAACGCATTACACCAAAAGTTTTTTTCCATTTTGTCATAGATTTTAACATAGATGCCAGTTATGGGTAAATAGCAGGACAGACCGGGTTCTAGAGCCTTGGATGGCAACTGGTCTACCACAGAAAGAAATGGCAACCTACTGCAGGAAAAATCTGCCTTGTCAGTCATGTATCAAAAGATACATGATCGTCTAAGCATGTATCACACATGGCTCCCACTTTAGAGTAATAGTTAGCAAGTCAGTCTTGCTTATATATATATATATATATATATATATATATAATCAACTCTCCTGTCGAGATTCAACGTATGAGGGTCAAGCAGATCAGTTTCCAGGAAACCGACAGCGCGACACCGGCACATGAGATTTGATTATAGTGGTGAAGGCCACGTGCAGGACCATCCACACTTTTTTACATGCTAATACCCTTGGGAAAGGTATGAATCCTCTTCCTCTCCCTCCAGCTATGGGTAAAATAGCAGAACAGACTGGGTTCTATAGCCTTGGATGGCAACTAGCCTAGGAGAAGGATAACTCTGAATTCAAAACATGTGGAGGGGCGTTTGGGAACCTTGTGGCATTCGGTGCACCAGGTCTCTGTATTCGTCCCTTCAAAAAGTGTATATATATATATATATATATATATATATATATATATAATATAAAGTGGACATTGAGGTCAGCACCAAGAGGTTACAATCTTCAGGCCTATCAGAAAATTCTTGAACATTCAGATACTGTTCAATTTAAAAAAACAAAAAAAACAAAAAAACAGAGCATTTACTTAAGTAAATCATATCAATAAAAATAACAAATAAAAAGAAAATAAATATATATGTGTGTGTGTGTGTGTATGCGTATAAAAATGGCAACAGTCTGTTTCATGTTTCAACACAATCTTCAGGTTATGTGTGATGTGTTTTGGCTCAACACTATATATGCTGCTCAGTGTTGCATTATGGGTAATAAGGTCTATTGTATTAAACTGATGGTTATGTCTCAAATTATTCTAGAGGACATTTATTTGTTAACTTTTCACTCATTTATTTTTTATTAGTTAATTATTTGATATTGATAATTATTATTATATTTACTTGTGTTTATGTATTCCTACATAACTTGTTAATTAACATTATTTACTTAATTTTTTGTATTTATTTAGATTTTTTGTTTATTTTGATTTTTGGTGGTGAGGGTTGATTATCTTATGTTTAGTTTAAAGTATTGGCTTTGTATAACGTATGTTACATTATCTGTGTTATATATAGTGTATATATTTGCATTTTTCATGGTCGTATTAGCACATTAGTCAATATAG